TCCAGACTCTTAATCATGGGCGATTTCAACCATGGAAAGATAGACTGGGAGAATGGGGACCCACATGGAGGTAAAGACACATGGCGATGTAAACTTTTGGAAGTGAGTACAAGGAACTTTCTGAGCCAACATGTCAAGGGACCCACAAGAATGAGAGGAAATGACAAACCAGCTAGACTCGACCTGATATTCACCTTAAATGACTCAGAAATAAGGGAAGTCAAATATGAAGCCCCATAGGAATGAGTGACCACAGTGTATTGATATTTGAGTACCTGGCAGAAGTAGAAATAACCTATCCAAGGATGGGATTGGAAGGAAAAAGACTAAATTACCGAAGAGGAAAATATGACGAGATGAGGAACTTCCTAGTGGGAATACCATGGGAAACAGAACTCAGAGAAAAGACTGTACAGGATATGATAGATTATGTCACTCAGAAGTGTCAGGAGGCTGCAGACAGGTTTATCCCAGTCCAAAAAGTGAAAAATGATAAGCAACGGAAGAATCCGTGGTTCAACAAGGAATGTGCGGCAGCGAAGCAATTGAATAAAAGAACATGGCGAAACTACAGGAACAACAGAACACCAGAGAGCAGGAAGAGATACCAGAGGGCCAGAAATGAGTACATCAGAGTGAGGAGAGAAGCAGAGAGACAGTATGAAAATGACATCGCGAGTAATGCTAAGACCCAACCAAAACTGCTCCACAGCCACATCAGGGGGAAAACAGTAGTGAAGGAACAAGTGATGAAACAGAAAAGGGGAGAACAGATACACAGAGAACGACAAAGAGGTGTGTGAAGAACTCAACAAGAGATTCCAGGAGGTCTTCACAATAGAACAAGGAGAGGTCCCTGCACTAAATGAGGCGGCAAACCGAACAACCTTGGAGGAATTTTGCCTCACCAGTGATGAGGTCAAAAGGAATCTGTTGGAGCTGAATGTGTCAAAGGCTGTAGGGCCTGACAGAATCTCACTGTGGATTCTAAGAGAAGGTGCAGAAGCACTAAGTGTGCCACTCTCTATGGTGTATAACAGGTCACTGGAAACAGGAGACATTCCAGAAAGCTGGAAGACAGCTAATGTAGTTCCAATTTGCAAAAAGGGTGGCAGGCAAGAGGCAAGGTGATGGAGAAGGTTGTGAGGAAAAGGCTCGTAGAGCATCTGGAGAGAAACAGCTTTGTAACACACCACCAGCATGGGTTCAGAGATGGTAAATCGTGCCTCACAGGCCTAATAGAATTCTATGACCAAGCAACACAAATTAGGCAGGAAAGAGAAGGGTGGGCAGACTGCATTTTCTTGGACTGTTAGAAAGCCTTTGACACAGTACCTCACAAAAGGCTGTTACAAAAGTTGGAGCAGCAGGCAGGAGTAAAAGGTAAGGTGCTCCAGTGGATAAGGGAGTATCTAAGCAATAGGAAACAGCGAGTAACGATGAGGGGGGGAGGCATCAGAGTGGCAAGATGTCACCAGCGGGGTTCCACAGGGCTCTGTACTCGGACCCATCCTGTTCCTAGTACAGTATATGTAAACGACCTTCCAGAGGGTATAGACTCATTCCTCTCAATGTTTGCTGATGATGCAAAAATTATGAGAAGAATCAAAACAGATGAAGATAAACAGAGACTACAGGACGACCTGGACAAACTGGAGGAATGGTCTAGAAAATGGCTGCTAAAGTTCAACTCAGGAAAGTGTAAAGTAATGAAATTAGGCGAAGGGAGCAGAAGGCTGAACACAAGGTACCATCTGGGAGGTGAAATCCTGCAAGAGTCAAATAGAGAGAAAGATCTGGGGGTCGATATCACACCGAACCTGTCCCCAGAGGCCCACATCAAAAGGATATCATCAGCGGCATATGCTAGACTGGCCAATATAAGAACTGCCTTTAGAAACTTGTGTAAGGAATCGTTCAGGACCCTGTATACCACTTATGTCAGACCAATCCTGGAGTATGCAGCTCCAGCCTAGACTCCATACCTAGTTAAACACAAGACGAAGTTAGAGAAGATTCAGAAGTATGCCACCAGACTGGTCCTGGAACTGAGAGGAATGAGTTACGAGGAAATTCTAAGGGAGCTGAACCTCACAACCCTGGAAAACAGAAGAGTAAGGGAAGACATGATAACCACCTACAAAATTCTCAGGGGAATTGACAGGGTGGACAAAGACAAACTCTTTAGCACGGGTGGAACACGAACGAGGGGACACAGGTGGAAATTTAGTACCCAGATGACCCACATATACGTTACAAATTTTTTTTTCAGTGTCAGGGTAGTTAACAAATGGAATGCATTAACACTTTAGTGCGCGCGACACTAGCTGAAAAAAAAAAGCGGGTTGTGCGCGCGGCGTTCTGGGCGCTCAAGCGTAAACACAAAAAAGTTTATAATCTTTTCATGCTCCTAACATCAATTCTCGAGCTACGTTTTTCATTTTGGTATCAATGCGTTGGCAATAAAATTCTCTACAAGATCATATGCATAAAATGTCACCCAAGCATTTGGTATCCCACCACGAAGTAAATAAACACGAAGATGACTCGCCGTGACACCCAAACAGGAAGTAAATGTTCATACTCTTTCGTTTGTTGCCAGCCTCACAGTCATCCTACAGTGCTTATTTTGATATCACTGAACTCGCAATAAAATTCCCCACCCAGACATATGCCTATCAATGTCTAATTATGTTCCGCACGAGTGTGGGAACTGGGCAAAGCGTTAGCCGTGATTTCAGCAGCGACGACACTGTTGTGATGCAGTGCTTTGAAAGTTTATACTTATTTCACTGTTCTGACATTATTTCTCAAGCTACGTATTTCATTTTTATAGCAATGTGTTCGCAATAGAAAGTTCTATAAGAACATGGGTAGAATTGGCCAACAGAGCGTCAAATAAATTTGCGGCGAATAAAATCTTACACGTCATCTTAGAATCATGATCGCGGCCAACACAAGAGTGTGTGGAGTGGGCGTACCCTCGTTGTGTCACCAACTCAATAGTCTCTCCTCTAAGTTACAATACATTGCCGTTTTCTCAAATAGGCACTGTGCCTATTAGAGAAAACGAAAATTTAATGGCAAACATATTCATACAAACCCCAAGTCGATCGAGTAGTAAATACCCAATAAAAAACACGATCCGTAAATTTACGTCGTGATCCGACAAGCGGTTAAGCAAAACGCCCGTAATTCCAAGTAAAAAATCCAGAAAAGTGTTAAGTAGTGTTGTGGTGGAGGCAGACTCCATACACAGTTTCAAATATAGATATGATAGAGCCCAATAGGCTCAGGAATCTGTACACCAGTTGATTGACAGTTGAGAGGCAGGACCAAAGAGCCAGAGCTCAACCCCCACAAACACAACTAGGTGAGTACACCCCCAGGAAGCAGCCCTCCGCACAGTTGGGTGTAGCCCTGGCTCTGTCTCCCCAACTTCGACATTTCCTCTCATTGGCTATTCTTCAGCTACACCCATTTCAACGCTCACCCGAAGGGTATCTTGTCCTATATTTAATTGATTAATTGAAGCAGCTGTCTAACTCCCAGGTACCTATTTACTGCTAGGTGAACAGGTGCATCATAGAGAAAGAAACTCTGCCTATTTGTTTCCGCCTTCACCAGGGATCGATCCTGGAACCTCAGGACTATGAATCCGAAGCGCTGTCCACTCAGCTGTCAGGCCCCTTGATGCTTAAGAAACAATTCACACCATCATCAGAAGATTGTAACGTAGATGTAGTAATTAGTCCCCCCAGGCAAAAGATAAAAAATATGTATGAGACAGGAGAGCTGAGAGCAACATATGATTGTATAATTAGAAAATTTTCTGTAGCTGAATTGCATTCGATAATTTGTTTCCAAATAAGATGTAGTAGGTCTTTTTCTATGTTTCTATGTTTAGTGTTAGTTTGTTAGTTGACATCTGTAAGTGGATTTTTTTTAATTCATTATTCATATATATGGAATATAAAGAATAAAATCTCGAAATGAAGTTAACTATAAAAATTAATATCATAGAAGTACGTTAGAATGAGAACATTCCTTCACCTTTTCCTCATTTCAAAATTTATCTCAACCAGAGGCATCAGGTGACCAACTGTTTCTGTCCTGCCCGGGATTGAATCCAGCTCCCTTGACTGTGAGTCAAGGGCACAGACCACTGTATGAGGTCTGCTGCTGGGGAAGTGACAAGAGCTAATATTGCTATGACCCCTAAAGGGAATAAATTACAAGCAATTTCAGGTCAGGAAGTCAGCTAGTCAGTTGTCTGTTATTGGAAAGTTTGGTGCAGTGCCTTGTAGCCATACAGCTGCTCTCTTGTCAGTGTGCATTTGGGTCCATGGTCAAATCAGTATGCAGAATGGGATATAAGTGTTCGTAAGGGGGTGTCTTCTTGGGGCAGAGAAAATAAGGCATAACTATGGAGAGGGAGTCATATGCAAGTCTCTAGTCATCTTTAACACTTTGCTTGACATTCCCCTTGCCATTGATGAAAGGGGAATAGGGTGTTAGTGAATACTGGAAAGTGATCTCAGATAATTGGGGTGTATAGTTCTCTGACCTGTGAGCAACTGGGTGTAATTTGACATGCCATTCCAGTGACTTGCTACAACAGGGTACCGCCTGGTGCGGTGTTACGGTCACACATGAGGGATTTCCAATTACATCACTGTAAATAACTACTCAGTATATAGTGTAGTGTCAACACACTTGCCTCATGCTTCACATGTGATTTGATCTGGGTTCAAGTCTTGGCCAGGAGGGGGAGGGGATTGATTAGGCACCATTCCTTAACTGTTCACCTTTGTTCATCCAGCAGTAACTGGGTACCTGGTTGTAAACCGATTGGCAGGTCATATTCCAGGTAAAACTAGTGGGCGAGTCTTACCATAAACTATGGAAAGGAAAAGCTCAAAGTCTGCTAATAAGAGTCATGAGTCAGTACCCATGTAAAAAATAAATGATTAAATTTATGTAATTACAATAATACCAAATTGAACTTTAGGTGGCTACAATGCGATACAAAATGCCAATTTATTTACAAATGTCTAGTATGTGTTATATCACACTACAGGGAAGTGAGTCACAAAATAGGGTAGAAGTAGGCAAATGATACAGCCAATATGGAAACAATCATTACAGTGCTGCATATGTTGCATAAATAATTAAAAAAAATCACAAACATCTATGCAACATACCCTCTATTGAGGAACTGTGTGGTCGAATAAACGTTAACTGAAAATAATGGTATTAATATAAATATTGTGCATAAAAGGATGCAGCTGCAAGCTACAATAAGGTATATTTAAGACACTTGAGTCTTAAATATCTTGTATATAGGGATGTGTAATGTGTGCAATACTGTAATAAGTTTGTACTTAGTAGCCAACAGCTTTAGATATAAGCTAATACTGTACAGGAAATTCTATGTTGGCAACTTATTTAAAAAATTAAAAATCTAAGTGTATTTTTAACAAATCCTAACCAGGTCATCTGTACTTCCAATCTGTACATGTCAAATACATTTACTGAAACAATGCCAGGGTGTAAGTAACTCAAAAAATAGGGTTTGCATCAATACAGTCACAACATAAACATGTTAAATGTGCTGCCGTGTTTCATTTAATAATTTCTATAAAGCTATTACTGGTCATGGAGTCACCCTTCCTCTCAATGAAGCCACACTATTTGGCGAGCCATGCAGCCTTCCTGCCAATTCCAGAGATGCTGTGCAGGCTCTGGGTGCAGGTAATGCAAGGGCCCAATACATTATGAGCCTAGTGTCCAACTATTCATTTAGTATGCCATCCAAGCGAGACATACTCGTGTATAAATTTTGCTCACTCCCTGAACTTCCATAGATTCAATGATATAGAAATTTATCAGCTTGGGGATAGTTTATAGGAAGCCCCAAGTTATTAAATATTAATTATGCTCACAAGAAACCTGGCACCCCCTGCTAGACCATACGGGTATGACGGGCAGCGAGCCCACTCTTCCACTCACACTGTTCAGGGGCACTCATCTTGGCAAATTTATTCTTAAGTTCTGTACTTACATAGAGGAGTCAGAGAGGTATATATTAAGTACTATTACTAGTATCAGAATACACTTCAATCTGCGAATCTTTCCAACACCATAAATGCTTGCCTTGTGAACCCTAATTGGATAAATAACAACTGTAGTGACTGATGGTAACTAGTTCTAGTAACACTAACAGACGTCATATGTTAACTTAAAAGTCAGGTGGTATGTAAACAGGCCATAAGAGAGACATCATAAAACACTCGTGGACAATAATAATTTGTGGAGACTTAGAAACTCGTATGAAAATGTCTTGTCTCAGCACATTTCAAGTACCGTACATGTTAGGTTGACGAGTTCAAATTAACCAACCTCATAGTGTGTGTATATATATGCCTTTACAATACTGTACATAGTATTTACAAACCCTAAAAATAGTTAAAATCCATGTAATTAATATATACAGTACTTGTATTAATTCTAGCATTCACTTTTCATTTTGCTAATCAAAACATGAATTGTTTTATATCTACAAATACACTCAATATGTACAACATACAACTACTGGTTAATAAGTGTTCCCCGGACTTGTTTTGCAGATGAACTCTCTTCCGAGGCTAGTTGGCTCTTGCGCTTATTCATACCCTTCCGTTCCAATTGTTTTTCAATAATTCTTGCATTGTTGGCATAGGAATCTGCAACTTCTCTCTGAAATAAGCAACAAATAATGTATAATGCACAAACTGCAATGAGAGACAATATAATGGAAAGAAACAAGTAGTAAATAGTTCATCTGTAATGCAATCAATTAATCATCATCATTACACTATTCCCCCACTTTTATGGAACATGAAGGCATCAGCCGAGAGGAAAGCTGACTACTATAGTGAAAGAAGGTTGTAGATACAATATTACTAAAGAAAAGCATCATTTCTCTATTCATTATGTCATTCTTACTATATTGCATCACAAATAAAGAAGCACCACCACACTCCTGCAGTCATCCACTCCAGCACGGCCCAGCTTCATAAAACTAGGTGTGTAGTGCTGCTCATGAACTGACTTATACGGAACATATAAAAACATTCACTCATTAACACTTTCCCTATCTCGTGACAATGCGTCACCGATTTTTCCCTAGTCCTATTTCGTGACATCATTTGCATCCAACAATAAAATATTTGTATAAAATTCAATTTTTATCCAATCGACTTTGGGATAGTTTCAAAATGAGAACCTTTTGGTTGCGAACAATTTGATACCAAACTGAAAGATGTAACAAGAAACTTTATGTCAGAACACTGGAAAGATATAAATAATTTTGTGATGATGAGTATCCAAAATTAAAATATTTGTTAAAATTCCAGTTATTGCTCTATTATTATGGGACTAGTTTTAAAATATGAGCCTATATATTGCGAACAATTTGATACCAAAATGAAAGACGTACGATGAAAATTGATGTTATCAAACTGAACGAGTATACACATTAGGTTGCTGTGTGCAAATTGGTGCTCGTTCACGGGTAACTTTAGGCTTTGCTGTGGGGAGTCATGCCGGGCTTTTGGACATTATATGCATATAAACCTGCAGGGAATTTAATTGCAAACACGATGATACCAAAATGAACGACATAGTAATTGAATTAAGGTGAGAAAACTGAAACGAGTATACCATTTTAGTGATTTTGTGAGCTCACGGGTAACTTTTGCCGACTTTAGGCTTTGCTGTGGGGAGTTACGCCAGGCTTTTGGACATTATATGCATAAACACCTGTAGGGAATTCTATTGCGGACACAATGATACCAAAACGAGCGACATAACACGAGAATTAAGGTGAGAAAACTGAAACGAGTATACACATTTCGTGTCGCCGCGTGCTCGCCTGCACGCACCGCCGGGAACATGACGTCAAAGTTTGCGGTGCGCATGCCCGGATAGCGAAGGTGTTAAAAATCACTTCCACCCAGCCTTGTCCCTCGCCATATTTAGTAGGTTGTTTGTACTGTACTTGCTTCCTGCTACTTCACACACTCACCACATCTTTCCACCCACTTACTTCTCAGCTTTCCTCTCCTGCAACCCTTAAATACACACTTGACCCTCATGTTATCGTCAGTGTGTTAAATGTCCCTAAACTATATTGGAAGTCTTTAATCTCGCAGTTTATTAACTTTTTCATCACCAACACTACCCCAACTACCACTTTTATGGAGTTTAAAAATTAGCTTGGTTAGAAAGATTAGAAAGATTAGTTGAATTTTATTAGCTTAGAGAAGATAGATCAGCTATATTGGAAAATTAGTTAAATTAAAAATATTACAACCATTCATTCACTAAATCTTAAATAATAAAAAGTATTAATAATGGTTTATATATGACAAATATTAATAATAGTATATATTTGACAAATATTAAAAATAGTTCATATTTGACAAGTATTTAATAATTCATAGTTGACAAATATTAATAATGGTTTATACAGTGGTACCTCGGATTACGAGCAGGATTTGCTCGGAAAATTTGCATCGGGATACAAGCGTGTTGATACGCGTACAGGACGACCTAGCACGTGGTGGCATGGCGGTCGCGCCTCAGTTTACCAGTGCCTCACACCCAGTGACTATCCCGCCTGAATTCCTCACAAGAATTTACAGTTTTTTGTTGGATTTTTAGCCATTTGAGCATAAAAGTTGTTATTATATATCTCGCCATGGGTTCCAAAAAAGCCAGTGGTAAGGATCAAGGTAAGAAATCACATGTGAGAATGACCATAGAGGAAAAACAAGAGATCATTCGTAAGCGTGAAAATGGTATGAGGGTTGATGATGTAGAATAGAGGATGTCTCTTCCTCATTTATTAAGAAAATGTGTGCTGTAGGAGAAGAATTTCAAAGTTTTACTGAAAAGTGTCACCCAAAACAAGCTGTAGCAGGCCGTTGTGTTAACCTTTTAAATGACAATATGATGTCTCACTTGAGACAAGTGTTACAATGTAGGGAAAAACAAGTGATGCTAAACAGCTTTTTAGTGAGAAAATCAAGCAGTGAGCCACAACCAGAACCTAGTGGCATGCAGGCAAAACGTGCCAGAGAGTGCACACCAGAGAAGTCCTCACTGCCTGATGTTATAATGGAAGAGGACTCCCCTTCCAAACAGTAACACCTCTTCTCCTCCCCCCTCCTCACCATCTTCCATACACCAACAGCAGTCATCAGCAAGAGAAAGGAATAATTTGAACATAATTTTGTAGTGTAGATTTAGATGAATTAGGTATAAAATTTAGTTTGAAGTGAGGTTTTTGGGTAGTCAGGAACAGATTAATTCATTTCCATTATTTCTTATGGGGGAAATTAGCTTCGGTTTACGAGTTTTCGGATTACGAGCTGTCTCCAGGAAGGGATTAAATTCTTAAACTGAGGTACCCCGGGGGGTACTTCGGTTTAAGAGTTTAATCCATTCCTGGAGACAGCTCATAACCCGTGGCTAATTTCCCCATAAGAAATAATGGGAAATGAATTAATCCGTTCCTGACTACCCAAAAACCTCACTTAAAACTAAATTTTATACCTAATTCATCTAAATCTACACTACAAAACTATGTTCAAGTTATTACTTACCATTGCTGATGACTGCTGTTGGTGTATGGAAGATGGTCAGGAGGGGGGGGGAGGAGGAGAGGTGTTACTGTTTGGAAGGGGAGTCCCCTTCCATTATAACATCAGGCAGTGAGGACTTCTCTGGTGTGCACTCTCTGGCACGTTTTGCCTGCATGCCACTAGGTTCTGGTTGTGGCTCACTGCTTGATTTTCTCACTAAAAAGCTGTTTAGCATCACTTGTTTTTCCCTACATTGTAACACTTGTCTCAAGTGAGACATCATATTGTCATTTAAAAGGTTAACACAACGGCCTGCTACAGCTTGATTTGGGTGACACTTTTCAGCAAAACTTTGAAATTCTTCTCCTACTGCACATTTTCTTAATAAATGAGGAAGAGACATCCTCTATTCTACATCATCAACCCTCATACCATTTCAATGCTTACGTATAATCTGTTGTTTTTCCTCTATGGTCAACCGTAAAGAGCTCAGTACCCCAGGGTACTGTGCTGGCTCCAGTACTTTTTCTCATCCTCATATCGGACATAGACAAGGACACAACCTATAGTAATGTATCATCCTTTGCAGATGACACTAGGATTTTTATGAGAGTAGATAACATAGAGGACACGGCAAACCTCCAATCAGATGTAAATCAGGTCTTTCTATGGGCTACAGAAAATAACATGATGTTTAACCCTTAAAGTGCGCATCACTTCATATGAAGTGTAAATCGTTTTACCAGTCAACTGCGCTTCACTTCATATGAAGTGTATGGGTACCGCGCACGATTTGAATGGCCCGCGGTGTAGCTGGGGGTCCCATACGCTGCCCAGGGGCTCTAGTAAACAGCGGCCATTTTGAAAAAAAATCCAGCTCACGATCCGATGGCATGGGAGGCCTCAGTTTACCGAGAGTCACCATGGCGAGCGCACGGTCAAACGCCTCACGGGCACGCACCACTCAGTCCCTCACCCCAGAGCAAATAGCCCACGAATTATTCTCTGAAGGTGAAGAAAGTGTGTTTGACGATTCAGACAACGATGAGGATTATACACAGTTGTCGGGTGATAGTAGCAGCAGCAGTGAAAGTGAGAATGACCGCCATGCCATGGCGAGGCCTATACGCTCTCCCATGCCTCCTCGCCCATTTTCTACCCCAATTCTACCATGACCTCACAGTTCCTGTGGATATTTTCTGTTTGAGGGTGACGAGTCAGAGGGAGGTGACTCCTTTTCTGGGTTTAGTGACTCAGATCAAAGTTTTATTGAGCCTGTGGCTGGTACCAGTGGTGTAACTGGGCGAGAAATTGTCACGTCAGCAGCATCTCGCCCGGCCAAGCGCCACCGCATGGCACCACATGAGGGACCAAGACCCTCGTGTTCACGTGCACCCACCTCACGTGCACCCACCTCACGTGCACGTAGCCGCCGTGCTTCTCGCAGACGGTATTCAGCTCCTGGTCGCCGGTATGCATCGCTTCCTCGCCGTCATTCCTCTGCATCTTGCAGGACGCCTGGTGTACTTGAGTGGAGTGATGGTGACGATTTTATTCCTAATATTCCTCACTTTGACGATAAAGATGTAGGGATTACAAACCTTTTCCCTAATCAAGGTGAGGACATGGCTGAGATGGAATATTTTACAGCATTCTATGATGAACCACTCATGGAATACATTGTACACCAAACGAACCTGCATGCTGCTTACCTGATTGAGAGGGATATCACAGAATTTTCACGACTGCAGCGTTGGAAAAATACCACAGTGGCGGAAATGTATATGTTTTTGGCACTCTGTTTGTTGATGAAGCACTGTCACAAACATGCAATAAATGACTATTGGAGCAAGGACAAGACAATACCAACACCTTTATTCGGGAAATATATGTCACGAGACAGGTTTCAGATACTCCTCAGGTGTCTACATTTTGGAAGTGTTCAGGACCGAACACCTGATGATAGACTGGCGAGTGAGGCACTACATGAACGATGTTATTGGAAAATTCAGAGATTTTTACGTACCAGCACAGAAGCTGGTGGTTGATGAATCTCTCATACTTTTCAAGGGACGTGTTCCATTCAAACAGTACATTCCCTCAAAACGAAACCGATTTGGCCTGAAATTTTTTGTTCTTTGTGATTGTGAGACAGGATACGTGTTACACATGATTCTGTACTCGGCTAGTGATGTAGACATTCCCGGTAACGACGAACATGGATTCTCGGGGAGTGTAGTGAAGACCATCATGGCTCCGTAGATGAACAAGGGACACATTTTATACACAGATAATTACTATACAAGTCCCTTGCTAGCTCGGTTCTTGCTAGAAAATAGAACCGGATTGGTTGGTACAGTAAAGCCACAACGAAGGGAAATGCCTGTGTTTGACAACGACATTGCAGTTGGTGAGTGTCAGAGAAGGAAAAGTGATAACATTCTGTCAGTTCGGTGGAAAGACAAAAGAGAGGTGAACTTGTTGACAACAATTCATGATGGAACAATGGTGAACAGTGGGAAAGTGAGCCATAAAACAAACGCACCACTATATAAGCCAGACTGTGTTTTAGACTATAATATCAACATGCGGTTGATTGATAAATCAGACATGATGATTGGCACTGCAGAGTGTGTGCGGAAGACATGTAGGTGGACGAAAAAAGTGTTCTTCCATCTTGTGGACATGAGCATGCTGAACTGTTTCAACATGTACCTTGTGAGAACTGGACGTAAGCCCACTTTCCGTGACTTTGTATTTGATGCTGCAATACAGTTATTAGGAAAGTTTGCAAAAGATGTCCCAGGTATTCAGCGGCCCATCATAAACCCACTGTTGCAGCATGCTGGTACTCCACGCCTCGCTCACACTGAAGGCTTCCTAGCACACAAACTTAAGTATTTGCCACCTGGTGTGAAGCGTGCAATAGCCCAACGTGATTGCTTGGTGTGTAAAACAACGACACGTAGAGACAAGAAACGGAAGCTTGTGCAAACATGGTGTGAAACGTGTGGTATCCCATTATGTGCTGTCGACTGCTTCAATGACTACCACAGTCTAGAAATCTTCTAAGTGTGCTTCAAAGTGTGTATAGTGTGTGCAAGTGTGTAAATATGTAAACATATAAGCAGATAGCTTGTGCGTGTGTGTAAATATATACAAATATAAGCAGAACATACAATATAATAGACTGTAATGACATATTATATTGCCGTAATTGAAAACATTTGTGTGCGCCTGTGTATACTCAAATATGCAACAATTATTGATACAAAATATGTTCAAACAGTATTTGAAACACAATTAGTGAAAAAAAATTAGATAAAATGCGCTTAGACATTGTAAATAAATAGCGCGAAAATATATTTGTTGCAACTCTGGCTGTTTGAGGACCGCGCGCAACACCTCCCGGGCGTGTACTGCATGAGCGAACATGCAGATTGTGACGTCATCACCGAGCTTCTCGGCTCTATTGCAACAAAAGTAAGTACAATAGAATTTTTTTTTTATTTTTCCCGTGATCAGTGAACAGAACTTAACAGATTAGCAAAAAAAAAAAATTTTTTTTTTTTTTCAAAATGACATGCGCCTGTGTGGATAGCAGGATATTAGACCCCGAGCACGTTAAGGGTTAACAAAGATAAGTTTCAGTTCATGCGCTACGGAAAAAATGAAAATATAAAAACGGAAACCACGTACAAAACTCAGTCAAATCATAACATAGAACGGAAAGGCAATGTAAAGGATTTGGGTGTACTGATGTCGGAAGACCTTATATTTAAAGAACACAATAAATTAGCCGTCACAACTGCAAGAAAATGACAGGTTGGATAACAAGAACCTTTCACACTAGAGATGCTATACCGATGATGATACTTTTCAAGACGCTAGTGCTCTCTAGAGTGCAATACTGCTGCACAATGACAGCCCCTTTCAAAGCTGGAGAAATTGTTGACCTGGAGAGCATGCAGAGACCTTTACTGCTAGAATCCACTCAGTAAAGCATCTAAACTATTGGGACCAACTAAAGAGCCTAAACCTGTATTCTCTTGAGCACAGGCGGGAGAGATACATAATAATTTACACATGGAAAGTAGTAGAGGGGCTGGTCCCAAACCTGCACCCAGAAATAACAGCACATGAGACCAGAAAGCATGGCAGGATGTGCAGAATACCCCTGTTGAATAGCAGAGGTGCAACAGGTACTCTGAGAGAGAGAACTCTATCAACATCAGAGGCCCAAGACTGTTCAACACGCTACCGCTACACATAAGGGGCATAACTGGTCGACCCCTCACAGTGTTCAAGAGAGAGCGTGACAAACATCTACAAAGGATACCTGATCAACCAGGCTGTGACTCATACGTAAGGATGCGAACAGCCGCGTCCAACAGCCTGATTGACCAGTCCGGCAACGAGGAGGCCTGGTCGACGACCGGGCCGCGGGGTCACTGAGCCCCGGAATCACCTCAAGGTAAGGTATTCTCACATGTGATTTCTTGCCTTGAATCTTAACACTGGCTTTCTTGGGACCCATTGCGAGATATATAATTACACCTTTTATGGTTAAATGGCCAAAAATCCAACAAAACACTGTAAATCTCGATGAAGAATTCAGGTGGGATAGTCACTGGGTGTGAGGCACTGGTAAACTGAGCGGCGATCGCCGTGCCACCATGTGCTAGGTCAGCCTGTACGCGTATCAACACACTCGCATTCCGAGGCAACGCTCATTTATCGATTCAAATCCTGCTCGTATTCCGAAAAACTCGTAAACGGGGACGCTCGTATTCCGAGGTACCACTGCACTGTACTTCCCAACTGGTGTTATGGATCATCTAATAACAACCCTCACCTTCAATGCAGATGTTATAACTTGAAAGAACTCAGGCTAAAAATACTTCATGATCAAAGTACTGTACTGAGGGTGTGAATCTTCGTGCAAATCACAAATTTGTTGTGGAATAAAACATTTCTTAGAAGGTTGAAGTTTAATCATCAAACGATGCCAAACTAGGAAATCTATGTAGCAGTTGAAAGGTTGTATCTCATGTAAAGGCTCCCAATTACAGGATATTTAAGCATAAGAAACCTAACTACGAGTTGGATAAACATTGAACTCACCGCTTCAATTTCATCTTCCTCTTCATCAATTGTAGATACAGTTACTGATGAAAATTTGCCCATATTCTTGGTGTGGCGCGTAATGAGAATGCGATCCTTTGGTTTATCAGCAACCTGCTGTGCAACTGATTTTCCACCACTCTGCACCACACTTCCCTAAAAATAAAAGTTGTGTATAAAGTAACATTCCTTTTTTGGTGGGACTTCATTAATACTTCTAGCTAATGCCTACAGTACTTAAGAGTACCAAGGTACTGTGGCACCAAGCTTCTGTGTCTATCTCTGCACACAGAAAGCAAGTGAAATTTTACACAGACTTTCCCAATCAAAGCAGTGGGGAGTGAACTGCCCAATATAGTGAATTGTCACAAAATATTTTAAAACCTCCTCTGAAAATGTGTTGACAATTGTCATATAATGGACTTTACTTTGGCCTGGGTTGGTGTTCCCCTATATCAGACCTATCCACAAAGTGTGTGTAGAATGCAACAAGAGTTTCCAGGTCTACAAACCCGAACCAAAAGGATAGGTGAAAACAGGTGGCCATAAACAACACTTGAGTGTGTTACTGTAGAAGAGTAAAGATGTCTGATGGAACTTAAAATAGTAAAAACAGTATGACCAGATCAGATATCACTGTGGTTACTGATGGAAGCTGCAGGGATTCTGTGTTTCCCATTAATTAAAGCTCGTAATCTGTCACAAGAAACGGGAATTTCTGAAAATATGGACAAATTACATGTATTTCCAATATTCAGGAAAGGGGGTCAGACAAAGGACTAAACTATAGACCCTGTCATTAATATGCATCCATGCAATATAATGGATAATATCACCAGGAAAAGATTTGTAGAACATTTGGAGAGTAAATTTTGTAATGAAGGCACAACACTGATTCAGAGAGGGAAAAATCATGCTAACAAATTGGATTGAATTCTATGGCAGGGTCACAAAAATAAGGCAAGAGAATGAAGGATAGGTAGACTACATCTCCGTAGATTGCCAGAAAGCTTTTGATATACTGTAGTTCCTCACAAAAGGCATACACAAGATGAAGAGATAAGCAGAGTTAACAGGAAAGATTAAACTGAGCAAGGAAGTATCCAACAGCAAACAAAGGGCCCTAGTCAGAAAGAATATGCCAACCTGGAGACAAGTGAAAAATAGGGTTTCCTAGGGGGCTCTGTTCAAAGACATGTCAATATTTGCATGTGATACAAAAGTAATGAGGAGGGTAAGAGCTGAGGAGGACTATAGAGTGCTGCTTATTCCAGGAGATGGCCTATAAATGACAGCTGGAATTCACCTCAAATACATGTAAGGTAACATGCAATGCCATATCACTTACTGTCCTATGTTGACAGTGTCATATTTGAGTGGTCTTTTACACTAACTGTTCAACATTTGTTGGAAGCATTTTGTGTAGCTCATTGTGCGATCTTTGCTACAGATTACCACCTCTGCTACATTTTGCTTTTTAATACAATCCAACAATTCTTGTATCCTTTGTTGTATCATTTTGTACTGCATTTGTGTAGTACTCTATACTGTTATATTACATCAGTAAAGATTATCTATCTATATTGGTGTACAGAATTCTTTGGTAAAATATATGCTGCAGATCCAGATATGTAAACATGTTACTTAGATTACTGGCAAGTCATGCAGTGTTTGGCAAGGTGGTGGTGATTGCCTGTGTTGTCACTCACTCATTTTTAACCTGTTTTTCTTTTCATTTCAAGTTTTGTTAATGTCAATCTTATTAAAAAAATTAGTTACCCCTCTACTGGTTGGTTATTCATTCCAGGTAAATATTATACACAGGTTAACTTGAACCAATTTTATCGTGTTATGCATTCTTCTTACACTTGAAAATACAGAGCTACTCCATTACGTTAAACCAGATTATGTGACAACCTACATTGGGTCACTCAGTACCTGTATGTGTAGATATGAGATAAATTACTGTAATCAAATAACAGACTTCTAAATTCATTAAGTAGCACAACCAGTATTACTACACTGAGCAGTAGAATACATTACTCAGAAATAATGCCAAATAATTATTAGTTAAGATACAGAAAGACAGATAGGCAGACAACATTGTTGGCAAGATTTTATTTAACCTTACTGTCAATCATTTTTTGCAGGCATGCTTCTTCTATTTTATAATAGAAGTCATTGGGAAAATGGTTAAACATTCATACAAAATTTTACTTTAAAGACAACACTTCAACGACATATGTTCTGTATATTAAGAGAAGTCTATATTTATTTTTCATTTCAACTAATCGAGTCAATGATAATTTATGTTACAGAGTTGCCATGAATTAACAAACATCAATGTATGATGTCATAATATCATACATAATATCATAATATTAAGTCATAATATATTAAGTTAGTGTGTTATAATATGGTTAATGACACCACTGCCTACAGTAATGTCAAGGCTGCCGGATAATGTAGAGTAAGAGTTGTGTGAGACACTGCAGTACATACCTTAACAACAAAGACAGTATTAGATGTGAGAGTGTGCTGGTAAAACAAAAGAAGACCACACTTTTTACATTTTTTTCTAAACTGTCTTTCAACACCCTCTGACCTCCGAATAAACACTGTTTCATCAGGGTCACAAACAAGACGGTGAGCATGTCTAGATCCATCGATAACTCTGGCTCCATCACGTTTCCGAAGTGGCAGTTTCTCCATTGAACAATCTGTCAGGAATAGTTTAGCAAATTATATTAACTAACATTTTCTTGATATTTTTAATACAAACAATAGCAATCAAAGGAGTTTCATATCTTTCCAAATATTATGCAGTACATACTGTACATGTATAACAATATTACCTAACAATAAATATTTAACAAAATTCAACAGTTTACTAGTTTGTATAGTGCATATCATAGTAAGCTAGGCTTTGATAGTGATGTAAGAGAACAGTCCAAATGGTACAAGACCTTAACCTTGCTTCAAAACTGGCATCAGCATTAAAATAACTCGCTCACAATTGGGATTTTTTTTTTTTAACCATCTTTGATTGCTTAGACCATAGTACAGTTTATTCAAGTTCAAATTATCTTGCTCAACAGAGGGTGAGTTGGAATAAATCTACAGCAATTTAAGGTCACACAAAGAATTTACTTAACAACTTATTAATAATATTGGTTAAGTGATTAAGATTACTGCAGACTGGAAGTAATATTTTTTAAGTAATATTGTAAATGGAAACTTTAAGGTGAACATGTGTATAACAGCCTGACTTACCAAGAATAACAGCCATTTGACCACATAGACAATAGTAGACTATTAGAGGTTTGTCCTCACTATATTCCTGCTGGTCCTTGGCATCCGACACCACCACGCTGCCAGATACAACCTTCGGCATTGTTCTTGCTTTAATATATGCCCTACAAGACAAAATAAAATTATGACTTGTAAATAAAAGAAAGGATCTATTACATCACATACTTGTTTAAACAAGAGACCTGACCACAGCTAACAGTTCTAAGATACCTTGTACAATACAGTATACCATTATTGCTCTTCTCCACACTTTAGTTGTCTTTGTGGTAGGTGAAGCATCTTCTCTGCATAGAATTAAGTTAAATATTCTTAAAAGGAGACAGATTCAGTAGTGAATTTAGGCTATTATAAGTCAGCAGTGGCACAACTCTTCCTGTAATTAGTGTGATACTTTACTTTTACTGAGAATTATATTCATGAACAAATACTGTACAGGGTAATTCCATAAATTAACTAGATGCACCACAAGTGAGCTTGTTGACAGTCCTTTGGTTATTCACTGGATGCAGAGGTAGTAATCATCATCCATTCAAGTAGTGGTGCATGAGTTTACCAACCCTTGCATACTTGCAGAAGCTACAAACACCTTACCTTTTGCTATGCACTGTATAGAAGAATTACTTAGGGTTACTGGCAAATGACTGGCTGCCACATCTACATGTCCACATTTCATCTCTATCTTGTGTCACGTGAATCCCCTGCATAGCAGTGAAACTGCCTTTTTCCCCTCACCTTCAATGTCTCTACACTGGAAATCTACATCTACACCAGCCCAGATGAGTCATCAGTCCTGCCACCTCTCCATACCCTTCAGGGCCTGGCACGGCCTGGAACGACTCAGATGCATGCCGGGCGCCTCTACTAACCGGTGGTTTGCCTTCACAAACAATCAGTTAGCCGCCTTCAACTAGCAATGTTGCAGCTCAACACAAAGGCACTGCCAGCCACAAATGAGCAGTTTGATAGTTGACCAGATGTCCACCTTGTGTTGATACCGGATGAGTCATCACCGCCAGACTATATAAAGGAGCCTCCCTGGAGAGTCAGTCTCTCACTTAGTGCTCTTGGATCACCTTGGTCTCTTTCACCCGTTGTCTGCCTTCAGCCTACATCGTGTGTCTGATGCAGTGGTGGTATGGTAGCTGTCTTCAGTACACCAATTCATCTTCATGCATTGTATTCATTGTTCTTACAGCTTATTTTTGCATTAATTTTCATACTATCTTGTCCACCTTTGCACTATATAATAATAGCCAAGCATTCTCAGGTGCCATTTTTGTTAATTAATATTTCAGTAAATTGTTTTAATTATTTATTTGATGATTTTCATTTGTTTCCATCTGCGACTTACACACTGCAAGGGCCAATAGCAGCATTTTTTTTTTTTTTTATTTATGTGAGGGAGAGGCATACCATCTTGGTTCAGTATAGCTGCAATACCACAACCCGTCACACTTGACTCCCAGGAACTTGGGAGTTGAGACATCTGTGCAATGACATCTAGGGCATAGGTGACTGGCTGGTCAGCTTTCAGAAGAACCTATCCCAATTTGAGGAATCAGCCACCATGTATGGCCACATTGGCCCTGTGGACCTGGAAGTCACTGATGATAAAATTATGCATGTCCTGTGCATTCACCATGGCTCCGCCTCTGAACTCACAGCGGTGACCCGCATTTGTATGCAACTGCCATGAAGATTATCAAGCTGAAGTTTGCCAGCCCGCTCCCTTCCACAATGTTGTTCCATTACATGGCCTATGACGTGATGGACAACCAGTTCCCACTTCTGTACTGTTATAATTGTCACCAGTTTGCACACACTAGCTTGACTTGTTGGAATAAACTTTATTGTGTGACTCATGGGTAATACCATTGTAAATGTAGGATAGGGGTGCCCATTGTTTTGACCCCTTCCAGTGTTTCTTCTGCAATGGAGCTCACAAGAAATATTGTAGGCTTGTCTGGTATACCAGCGAGCCCTAATCGTCATTGACCGAGCTCAAAAATTAGTTCCGCCTTACCAGGATCTATCTGCTGGTCTCTTGCTTTTCAAATCCACACTGTGGCACTCCCTTGGGGGCCCCAATGACAATGCCCCACCACTTTGGTGCCTGCTAATCATTGGTTGTTAGTTACCATCTTATACTGTATACCGAAGTTACTTTCGATGCCTCCTATGCCTCCGTGGCTAACTCATTTCAGGCACTAACCAATTCATATGCAACAGACCCTCCTCCAGCACTCAGATTCTGGTGCACCAGGAGCACCATTCGCCTGCCCTTGGCTGGTACTGAAGTTCTTGTCATCGCTGCTCCTTTCACCATATCACAACATTCACTCATTGTTCGAGCCTACCTGATGAGGCCCAGCTGAGGCCCAGCTGACATTCCATAGTGAGGGCACTGCACCATCCCCTCACTCTCCTAATCCACTTCCTGCCTCAGGTTTGGTACTCGACTGTCAAAGACCTTAATTCTCGGCCTCATGATACTGTTCAGCCTTCTCATGTCTCCACCACTGGGTGCCAAGAGTGTCCTCACCACAGTCCATCTAATCCAAAATAGATATCTCTTTGTTGGAGGCTTATCAGCCAAATATGAAGGGTCGTACATGAGAGTGGTTTGCACCAGAGCAATTGTACAGGTATTCTCCTTGCTCTATGAATAATGACCCATGAGCCCTATACCCATTTTTTTTTACGGAATATGTTATCTTGAGATGATTTTGGGGATTAGTGTCCCCGCAGGCCGGTCCTCGACCAGGCCTCCTTTTTTGTTACACATCCCCAGGAAGCAGCCCATAGCAGCTGTCTAACTCCCATGTACCCATTTACTGCTAGGTGAACAGGAGCATAAGCGTGAAAGAAACTCCGCCCATTTGTTTCCGCCTCCACCGGGGATTGAACCAGGAACCTTAGGACTACGAATCCCAAGCGCTGCCCAATCAGCCATCAGGCCCCCTAAATTTGCTGTCTCTTTCAGAACACACAGGATTTTCAGACATTTTTGTCTGATATCTCTGCTTCTAGTTGTCATATAATAATTAATTTTGTCAAGGGACAGGCAGCCAATATATATAAACATATTAGGCTTATATCGAGGTCCTCCCCCAAGGGTGAACTACTGACCCTACCCAGGATGCAATCCCATAACAAGCTGACAACTTCTGGGTACCTATTTACTGCTAGGTGAACAAGAGCAGTAGGTGATCGGAAATGCACCCAACCATTAGTGTCCCACCTAGGATTTGTATGCAGAATGCTTGATTGTGAATCAAGAAAACCCGACTGTATTACTAGGGCCGAGAAACAATGTTTTGTAGACCAGAATTTTGAATATTGTATTGTACACAAATAGCCCAGTCCACTCATTTTATACAGCAAAGTACAGTATATTTATTAATAGTTAACACTTTCGCGCTCTCGGCGCTCAAAAAAAAACAATACCCCAGATGCTTTCGGCAATTCGCGCGCCTACGCGGTAAGACCGAAAAAGTGTACACTCTTTTGACTGTCCTGACAACAATTGAAAGCGCACGTATTTAAATTTGGTATCACTGTGTTCGCAATGAAATTGTCTATAAGAGCATACCTATAAAATGCCGCCCAAGCATAAGGAGTATCAACACCAAATAAAAAACTATGCAGATCACTCGCCGAGAGTGCCAAACAGCAACAAAATGTTTCCACTCTCTTAATGGTTGCGAAGCCTACAGTTGTCCTACATCGCTAATTTTGGTGTCATTGGGATCGCAATAAAATTCTCTACACGGACATATGCATATGAATGTTTAATATAGGTAATTGCCCACCCGCAAGAGTGTGTGAAGTGGAGAGTAGTTAGCCGCGAGCGCACTGGCGAAAACACAGGGGGGAAATCATGCTTGGAAAGTTTATACGTTTCCTGACCCTACTTTTCTATGTACGTATTTCTTTTTTATACCAATGTGTTCGCAATAACATTTTCTATAAGATGAACTGTATAACATTTGTACAAAGCATGTGTAAGAGAAGCGCCAAATATAGAACCACGTCGCTCAGTATGCGTTCGCGGCAGAAACGAACGCATTGTTTTCGTTCGTTTGATGTTTGTCATGTTTATACTTGTTGAAACATTTTATAATTTGTATGACAGTGATCACAGTAAAATTCCCTACACAGACATATACATAACACATACAAATATTTCCCACGTGTTGGATATATCAACGGCTAAAGGGAACCCACTGCCACACGCTCGCCACACCCCCAAACATACTTTGTGTATTTTTTTTTTACTCATAGAAGTTTATGTGATATAATATTCATTCTGGTACCAAAAAATTCGCAAATAAATTCTCTACAAAACAAAAGTATCCCCATCCATTTCGGTTAAAAAATGGAATTTATAGAAATATTTTTTCGATTGACGAGAAAAGTAGGCTGTTATGCGGAATCGTAAGAAAAAACAGCGACGAGTTATCTCTAATCTAAAGCGCGAAAGTGTTAATAAGTTGTTATGTCGGGAGACAGGCAGCCAGAGTCTTTATATGCATGTTAAGACTTATATTGCCCCCTTCCCTCTCCAAGGTTGAATTACAGTACTGACCCCCAGGATGCAACTCTACAGCAAGCTGACTAACTCCTGGGTACCTACTTAACACTAGGTGAACAGAGGTGATAGGAAATGCACCCAACAAATTCTGCTCCGCCTGGGATTCGAACACGGAATTCTCAATTTTGGGTCAAGAACAAATCTGACTGTACTACCTGGACCCCTACCTGGTAACCATTTAAATCTGGTAACAATTTAGTACCCATCACATGTTCCAAACAACAAGAATTAGAACAGGTCTAAAAATCCACAACCTTGCTTGGACCCAAATCTAATTAACTTCTCTTTCAGAAATTAATAACATGACAGCAAAGATTAAATGAAAAGATAATATACTGTACTGCTAAATTAAAAAGTGGAGATGAATATAGTAGTTTGGTGTAGTTGTGTTGGTAATAATAGATGCAGAGGCCTACCACATGCCAGAGAAAAAGAGAGCCACCCAAGTCCTTGCCACAAGCCTGGGACCAGACAGCCACACACAAGTCCTCACCACAGGCTAGGGACCAG